CTGTTTAGGTCATGCTCTACCACTACCTGGACTGTCCGTGTCGCATGCCCCATCACTTGAGAAAATGACACACCCTCAACGCTATTAAACGGAGACAGTTCTTGCCTTTCATTCTTCAACTGGTGTATTTTTTGGGGTCGTGCGATCTGTGTGGGATGTGTGTATTTAAAGGGACTGTAGCATGACGAGACTACATGTTTTTCCTGTGGTCTGACTTGGGTATAATACGACTACGGACTACGTGACATACACAAAACCGAAGCGTGAGGAGAACTTTTTTTTTTGGTCTGTTTCGAAAACGCTGACAATGTATAGATTAAAGTCGCTGATTACTGTAAATCAAGTCCATTCCTTTACGTGCAGTTGTCCAAAAGAAGACATAGATGGCGTTAATCAGTATTGGCCAAACTACATCCCCTTTAAAGGTACTATGTCCCATTTGCAGGCCAAAAAAATGAAAAAGTTAAATTCCAACTGCATTTGAAAGATAATACTAATTTAGAACTTTCCTAAAAAAGGTGGGGCTTGAAAATGTCTTCAAGTGGGAAAATAACGACTAATAGATGTCAAATCGACTTTAGGGCTATAGAGCCCAAAAGTAATAGTCTTGATTTTCAGACAATTGTACCGAAGGATCATACGTTTTATGCTGCGCAAAGATTCAATCAGTTTAATCTTGGCCATCACAAGAAGTGGGTTATTGATGTAGACAAATGCTCATGTACCCTTTACAACTCTTTTCATGTATGTTATTACCAAAGAAGAAAAAAAAGCCAGTCAGTCACTCAATAGTGTCTGACAGTGAAGTCTAGCAAGTAAACGGGTTTCCTTGCATAATTTGAATATGAGGACACTGCTAACGTTTAAATTTCACAGATAGGACATACATGACATATTCATAATTCCCGCAAAGTTCTACAGCATTTGAGGTTGGCTGCAAAAGGGACATAGTACCTTTAATGGGAGGACAAAGATGATTGAAGAATTTAAAAAAAATTTAAAAAGAGACAGAATCTGGACTACTCATTGACACGTATTAAAGCACAAATCACTCTGTAAGTCAAGACTAAACACGAAGTTGAAATAGAAAGGATGTTTTGAACCATCTGCTTATCTCTTACTTCAATCATTACAAGGATTTTCAAATGTCATGTCATCACGGTCCATCGCAGCTAGAGCCCTGTATGTTTGCATGTGTAATCTACAGTCTATACTGATTAAGGGTCTGGTCCAATTAACTTTTGCACTAAGCGTGTACATCCTCTCCAGCCAAACAATACTGAAACTCTGTCTGTCACTTATTGCATAGGAAGTTATATGAATTTCTGTTTGAAATTTCATCCTGTTTGAGAAGTGAATGTATGGTAAGTATAGTTCCTGGTGCAAATTAAACTGTTACAAATTATACAGGTATCTGTTTTATGGAGTTACATGATGTTTGCATTTAAATTTGAATCCTGATGCTGAGGTAATGAATTGTAAGTAAAGTTTCTTTTGTACACTTGCCTGAAAGTCTGAAGTACATACAGATTTGTTGTATTTAGTGATAACTGATGGAAATTAAAACAATGTGCATTACCGGTAGATATATACTCAGGTAGAAAATATCACTGTACAGTACATTTATTATATCTGAAATGTGTAGTAACTAAATTAATAAATTGGAATCCTGATGCTGAGGTAATAAAAGTTTCTGTGTACACTTGCCTATGGCCCTGAAATTCTGAAGTACATGTTCATGTACTAGTTCTACAAAGTTTGTATTTATTGATAATTGATGGAAATTAAAACAATGTGTATTTGCTATACCGGTACTCAGGTAGAAAATATTACAGTACTGTACATCATCTGAAATGTGTTGTAACTATGGGTATTGTTTTAAGATATGTGGTAACAATCAGACTTTCAAACTTCAAACAGATTCTATTTCCCTCAATTGATATTTTCTGTAAATGGATGTTAATATACAATGTATATGACCTAATACCAGATCTGGACTTGCCTGAGGTATGTCTTAATTGTGATTTTGACGAAAAATACTATAAAAATATAATAGGGACATCCCAGTAGACCGCTAGCCCACATGTACATTAAGGCTGTGCACAACAGTGTAATGAGGTACCCGAGTACACTCCCATGCTTACAAGCGAATACTCGAGTATTCGGACGCCATGTTTTTTTTTTTTTTTTTTTTATTTTTTTTGAATTTTTTTGATTTTTGTTTTTTTGATTTTTTTTTTTTTTTGGATTTTTTTTCTTTTTCGCCACCACCATACATACCACTGGAGCAGTATCCCAGTTCTGTCGCCGAAAACGCATGCAATTTTACTTTGAGTTGCAGTTGAAGGCGCCGATTTAATAATAATAATAACAGTGAACAATGCTGTTTTAAAAACCAAAGATGGCAGAATAATCCATTTTCCTCCAAGTCCAAGCAGAAATCCAGACATTTGGTCCCAGTTTCTGAGTGGTGAGTTTGACAGTGCTTGAGTTGGGAAACATTTTTACCGACGGCACCATGCCAGCGGCCGCCGCTCACCCAGGCACGGGTAAGCGTCGGCCTGGACATTTTAAAAAAAAAAAAAAAAAAAAAAAAATTTTTTTTTAGCGGCCGAATATTCGGGTACGAGAAATCGTACCCGAGTAGTTGTCAACCGTGCGGGTACTCGAGCATTCGACTACCCTGCACAGCCTTAATGTACATGCACAGTAGTAGACCAACGGTCAACAAGACCGGCAGCCCAGGTCTTGTGAGCTTTCGGTCTCATGGACTGTAGCGATATGGTTCAACCTCACAATTTTAATCATAGATCTGTAAACCACAGTGATTATTTATTTGAAGGACTTATCCATTCTGGAATTGAAGTTTTTAAAAATCAATTACCCACCAATGTCGTATTGTCTTTTTTAATCGGTTTTGTTTTGATTTGTGTGTTTATTTGCTTTATTTTTCTCATACCTGCAGAAATGCATATTTCAGTTATGTTGAATTGGAAAGATATATAATCTATTCAATCACCTTGTACACATGGTGGAGGGTGGGGGAGGGGGGGGGGGGGGGGTAGTAACGAATAGAAAGTGCTCACAATGCAATGAATGCATACAATGTAGCATAAATAAACACACAATGTGTGTGTCTGGCCTGTTTTTCCCATAATTTGACACCCGCTGATTGTTTTCAGGAATTAGCGTGATGTAATACGAGACCTTCGGTAATTATCAAATTGATTTTGACACAGTTGGGCCAGGCCTGAAACGCTGCGTATCGGAGAAGGGGTGTGACCGCTCCGGCTGTGTCTGACTCACTACTGCATATTTTTAGTTCTTTTCTGAGTAAAACAAATGTCACTCTTGTCAACTATAGCATTCCTGCTATTACTAATCGCACATGCTCCCTCTCAAAGACATGTAGTAAATGATCATTGAGGAGACGAATACATATTTTGCTCTGGATATCTATTCAATTGGATTTAATTCAACTTGTTGGCAAGGTGATGTACATTTATGTGCTTGCGTTCCAGCATTGTATTCATTGTATGGGACTGACTCAGAATTTCAAGGTGAGATCGGGCATGTAAAGTATGCAATGCTTAGTATTTGTAAATTCTACATGTATCAGTGTATGCCTACACAAACTATGCACATCAAGAGAAGATTATCATTCTATAAGTTGGATTTAATTTCTTCTTCTTTTTTTTTCTTTCTTTTAAATTTATGATGGAATTTAGTATCATTAGTTCATGTGTACCAAGATTTTTCACTTGCAATAAAGGAAATGACAGTTGAATCCATTATACTTGACTTGTTAAGTAACTAGAATGGCTAAATACAATGTAGGTAGCCAATACAACTCCCATGTTTATTGGAATATTGTACATGTACTGTATGTACTGTACATGTGTGCTTTTGCAATATAATTAAGTCAAATATAATATTGTTTTCCTTATTAAAACAGAAACAGGAACTTCCATTGATTATGTAGTGGACAGTGACTAGACTACATGTATGACTGTACTGTATCTTTTCACTACAGTCTAGAATAATATTCTATTTCCCTCTTGAAATAGAACAGAAACCTGTATTGATTATATGAATTGGATATTTTTTTCATATGCAATGACGACTAGTGAAAACTCAACATTTGGCTTTTGAAAATATAGCTAGGATAACTGTTTAAAAGCTTTTACCGTATACTCATTGAATGCATGAAATTGAAGGTATAATCTGTGTTAAAATATTACTTAATTATGTTCACAAGGGCTATATTATTATGATGATGATGATGATGATGGTGATGGTTATTATTATCATTATTGTGGGTCAGGGTTTTGGGATTTGCCATCGGAAATGTAAAGAGAAGTTTGCTTTTACTCTGCAAAAACATGTGTCATGCAGATTGGCAATATTTTGTCATTGCCAACTATCTGTTACATTTATTTTATACCTACATGTACATATGTCCATACACTCTGTTTTTATTTTTTATACGGTCAGTGGATAAACTTTCTTTTTTGCAGGGAAAAAAATACTTTAAACATTTTGGGGGCTCTTTTGGGCATTTCGGGGGCTAATTTGCCCCGAGCCCCCGTGTATATTTTCCTCTGCTTTTTTGTCTCATGTGTTATACTGTTAGGATATAAGATATGGAGTTTTACTCTTTTGACATTGTGATATTTTCAGGCTTATTTTATATTAATTTCCTTATACTGGTAGTAATACAATTCTTGTGTATATTAGTACTTCCATTTAATTCTTTCATGTATTTTTTTTCTCAAAATTGCCACGCAGAGTGTTTCCATCAGTTTCTTACACTGAGTAGTAATATTGATTTAATATCAGATAAACAAAGCATCAATGAAGAAAAAATATATTGTACTGCAAAAGTAGAATTGATTTCAATGCCTTTAAATAGGGGATCACAGTCATGACTCACAATGGATTGTAGTAGTCAGCCATCAATTAATTCATTCTCTCTATCTTTTCCCCTCTGTATCTTTCAGTGGTTACAGCGTTGATGAAATCACCGGATGATCTGATACTGAAAGTGAGAGAAGGTTTGTATGACGATCGTTAATCCTTCTAGTCTTATCAAGTTTAATTGATTGGGATTTCCATTCAGACATGGTTCATTCATCAAGACAGAACTCAATTAGATTTGTGAGCAATGTGCATTAAGGCGGTGCACAACCGTGTAATGAGGTACCCGAGTACACTCCCAGGCTTACAAGCGAATACTTGAATATTCGGACACTATGTTTTTTTTTATTTAATTTTTTTTTTTTTTTTAATTAATTTTTTTTTTTAATTTTTTCTTTTTTTTCTTTCTTTTTTTCGGCCGAATATCCAAATACGAGAAATCGTACTTGAGTAGTTGTCAACAGTGCGGGTACTCGAGCATTTGACTACTCGTCGCAGCCCTAATGTGCATTCATTTGGTTTTAAAGATAAACACCAGTTATGGTCATGCCATTACATTGTAAAAGAAGCGTTGTGGAACTATCAGAAAAGGTTGATCATCTAGCATATATATTAAAGTATTGGTGTGTACTGCAAGGTTCTGGAATCATCAAAATGATAAGAAATTTGGCCCAGTCTTGGTAAAGTTACAAGCACTGAACACAGAAAGATGTACATGTATTTGGGAAGTTATATCTATAAGGTCCAAATAGATAATTGCCAAATATATCAATTAGTAGGTGGTTTCTCAGCAAAATTTGTATGATCACGTATCAGTCAAAACATATTCTTTCACATGATTGGTAATAAGAGCTTCCATTTCATTTTTTTAGAGGGGGGCGTTTCCAAAACTGTCTTGACGTTTAAGGCTTGTTCACATTGTTCAAATATGGCACCGTAAATCACCACCATTTTTTTTTTTTTTTTTTTTTTTTTTTGGGGGGGGGGTTAATGAATAGCCAGTGCTAGCAATAGCAATATGTGAGTACCCCCCCCCCCCAGGGATTACCAAAATTGCTGATGCTAAATACATGTACATGTACATGTAGTATTGATGAATCACTATAGCGTACGTGAGCATACATGTACTATATTGCAATCAATTACATGTATGAGGTTTACATGGTGATGATCATCATTCATGTGAGTCTTGACAACACCGGGAATTGAATATTGCAATACCAGAACTTTACACGACATGAATTCTAAATGAAAGCAAAATTTATTCTTTGTACATTCATTTTCATAACTACACGTAAAGATGATTGCTTTTATCTAAGCAAATTTAAAAGAGTTTCCAATTTCATAAGAGTGTTTGCAAGACATGGAAAGAAGAGCTTCAAATTTATCAGACTTGAAACTCATGTTATCATTATGAAGTGTGAACTATCGTGTTTCAACTCTCTACTCCACCTGTATTTCTATGAGACGTATGTGACAGCAGGGAAAAAAATACTTTAACAATTTTGGGGGCTACTTTTCAAGCTTGCTTGCATGAAAATAACACTCTTTAATTTGTTTTGCAAATTTTGGGGGGCTCTGTTATGACTTTCGGGGGCTCTTTTGGGCATTTCGGGGGTTAATTTGCCCCGAGCCCCAGTGTATTTTTTTCACTGTGTGACAGGGTATAAAAAAAGATGATTTTGTTGTTGTTAAGGTCCATTTTTCCCCCAGCTAAACTGGACATGACCAGTTGAGAGATATTGCATTACAAACTTGTTGACAGCATTCTTTGTGAGGGGGCCCTTTTTTCATTTACAGGGGGGCTTATTAGGGGCATATCACCCCTCGGTCATCAGCCCCCTTGTATATCATTCTCTTATTCCATAAACTTCTATACAGTGCGTCCCAGAAAAAACGAAAGCGAGAACTATCGATGTTTTATCATAACTTATCACAATTATGATTAATATATTTGGAAAGCTTAGAGTCTCCTCTTTCATTTGATGCAACTCATATGATGCACAAGGAAGACGAAAGACCTGATGCATGGCTGATCTTCAACGAAACGGAGTTAAGTATTTTGTCAACTCTGTTAGTTGCTATTGCAGGCAGCCAGTGAAAACAAACTCGTTTGATCAATTCATGGAAATGCGCACATTACTTTAAACAAACAGAACTTTGTTATTCCTGGCTCATTTTACCTGATTGAGGTGTCATATGAAAGAGAAGAAATTGAACTTTCTAGAAATGTAATTTTCTCCTTGAAATTCAGATATCGCCTGCCAAATGACTTTTTGGTTTCCTCTTTTCAAATTGCTTTTAATCACTCATGCGTGAGATATGAATCATATGGGTTGCATCAAATGAAAGAGGAGGATCTAAGCTTTCCAAATATGTGTCATTTATCAATTATAATTGTGTTTAAGTTATGATAAAACATTGATAATTCTCGGTCTTGTTTTTTCTGGGACGCACTGTATAATAGGAATGCTCTCTAGACTAGAGTGTATGTCGAACCTGTCATTTGGAATCAAGTTCATTATCGCACTTCCCCTCTGGCAAAACTACAAGCATCCTTCGTCAGTCTGATCGGGAAATAAATCAATAACATATTTTTTCATCTGTCAGACTCGAGCAGCATGATTATGACCCTTTTGTTAATGTCACATCTCAGAATGTTGTGCAATTTGTTTTGTTATTCGTGTTTTATGACTTGAAGTATTTTTCTCATTGTTGTCATGAACACAAAGTGAATTGTATGCAAAAAGTATGGCACAATCAGATTTGTTTATATGTTTAGCTCGGTTTTGTAGCTCTAATTTTCCAAATGAAATATTTTAAATGTATTTTTTTTGGGGGGGGGGGATTTATTTAATAGAACTGAATGAAATATTTCTGAATAGGTTGATTTGGAAATTTGCTGAGGGGTGTCAAATGATATTCCTTCAATTACAGGCAGACTGCCTCCAGCAAGGATATTAGAATTTAATGTGCAGTGAAAAAACAGCTGCTAATTGCATTAATTAATCACAATTAAACTGCATTACCTATGTCATTTCATCTTGCTACCAGTAATTAATTTTGATATTAAACATTGATGCAAAGTCCTGTATACATGTAGACTTAAAAATACATAAAAGATGTCTCATAATGTGTACCCTTTAAATTTTCAAGTAATTGAAATCTCATTCAATCCGTTTCTTATTCATGTTTTTTTTTATCATTACAATTTGACATTTATAGAACGATAAATCAAAAATGCAACATTCACAAAATAACAATGTCTAGATCAACATTTAATACAGAGCTTGATTTGGGGGTAAAAAAGCTGCAAACGGGGGCTAGCCTGTATCTCTGTAATTAAGAAAAAAATGGTCTGAATTTGTAATACATGTTGTTAAGTTGCAGATGTATATTGTTTTATTTGATTTCGGTACTTGTGCACTTTTACAATAGTGACTGCGTGGCGGAATATTCCCCAGGTAGTGGAGCATGTGCACTGTTATGTTTGGAATATCAGTGGAATCCAATGACTAGAGTAATAATAATTACATTGTAAAGTGCTTAGATGCTTATTCGCTATACCAATGTGACTATTATTATTATGAGTATTATCAGTAGATGTATTGAATATAATTCTTATTTCATAACCATAAATTGGACAAAGACTCTTTGGAAAGGCTGTACAGTACTCGGTAGATGTATGGACACGGTTGACGATGCAGTGTTAATTTTACACGTACAGCTGTACCTTCTAGCTGGTCACTAGTTTTAATGGGGTTGATATGAATTTGATGACCTTTCTAACATGTCACTCCAATTCGGGCTACCCCTCATTGAGCATACCCATCCATGTCCTTCCTCTGTAGTGTACACATCATCACTCACACTTTATAGATAAACTCCAGTTCTGGTAAAAAAAAGAAAATTAATTCTCACAGAATCAAACAAAACTTACAATGAATGTTCAAGATTTCAAATAAATTACATGTGCCAAACGATTTTGGAAGAAAATGTATACTGGCTGAGTAATGAGCATAGAAAGACAAGGAAGTCAAGGTAGTACTAGCCCCGACACCATGTGTGTTGTCCCATATATAGCTTTCTGTGTGCAGTGCTTGTTACTTTACGAAGACTCGGTCAAATTTATTATGATTTTGATGACTCCAGAACCTTGCAGTGCACACCAATACTTACATGCTACATGATCAACTGTTTCTGATCCTTTCCACACCTTTTCTTTCACAATGCAATCGCATTACCAGTACTAAAGTTTATCTTTAAATAAATTGTAATCTACTTGCTATGCTGGATGAAAATTTTGTAAATATACTGATTTTTGTGGATAGAACATATGTACATGCATATGCACATATTACATTGTATGTGAACCTGATTACAATTCATGAATTTGTACGATTACAGTATTTTATCCATTTAAAATATGCGCACCAAGATGACATTTATATGCCATGAAATTATTGTAGGAGGGGCACATGAACTTTAAAACATGTGAGTTATCAGAAGATTCTTAATTCAATAGAATTCAGTGTATTTTTTTTCAATTTAAAGGCCTTAATAGTACACAAAGTCATATAGCGTGTCTCCACACAATTTTTTTTATCCCGAAACTCTATAAAGAACGTCGTATAAAGAATCATTGTATAAATTCCAGGGCGTCCACACACAAGAAACGTCGTATAAAGAATCATCGTATAAATTCCAAGGCGTCCACACACACAAGAAAGTAATCCCGAAACTCTACAGCGAAACGTCCTATACATGTACATGTTGCTGCGCAGTTTGCTACTGTGGTCATGAAACGGAAGCGGAAATGAGAGGTCAGTTCTTCTTCCGCGTGCGGTCACGTTAAGCCCTGCCCAGTTATACCGTTCTAGTTCGACCAGTTATACTAGTTACGTCCACACACAACACATTCCGTGCTTCTTTATCGAGTTCTAGTTCGAAACGATGCCCATGCAGACCCACGTTTATTATACAACGTATCGTTGGTATTAAAGCGTACACACACACAATTTCATTGTATAACTATACTGTTTCGGGATAGTTATACAATGAATTGTTGCGTGTGTACACAGGGATACATGTTTGTAATGTTTACCTACAATTCACATGTAAACATGAAGGCCGATGTAAAAAATCTGTTTACTTCGGAGAGATTTAGGGTCACAGATGTATTTGTGCTTCCAGTTTCCCTTTAATGTACATCCTAATGATTGAAGTATGTCACCTTCCATGTCTGTATTAAGGTTAGAATTTGAGGACACGTACAGAACGAGGTTTATATCAGGCACTCTGGTTTAGTCATCTATCCCAAGCCTTTCTATTCGTTCACCCCTCGGTATTTATACACTCAGTAGGTATGTCTTCATCTGCTCGAGATTGCCAAATAGCCCGCTACTTCTGATCCTGGATATTAGCCTGATCGTGAAATACTGTAGGGGGCTATTTGGTGAAGGCGTAAATAGCTGGCTCTTTGCTTGGGAAATCATCCCAAGATATCTTTGGCTAGTTTGCAAAATATCCTGCTATTTGTCCAGTGCATGTATACGTTTTCACCAGCCCGAAGACTCGCACTACCTGTATGCGCAAACGCTTAGCAAAATATCTCGAGCTAATTTCTTGAGCTCGAGTTTCAAGTTTTGAGGTCGAGTCTCGAGCTGATGAAGCTGCGATTTGTAACTTCAGGCTTATTTCCCAAATTAGAAATAGCGGGCTGTTTGGCAATCTCGAGCTGATGAAGACAGGCCTTCAGCCTTCAGAGGAGATAGGAGGAGGGGGGGGGGGGGGGAATATTTCCTCAATAGCCAGAAATTTGCCACAGGATATTCAATGATGCATCCGTAAAATCACGAGTTACTCACTGAGAGAGGACGAGTAGGGGTATAGACTATTGCCACGTGAGCTACTAGAGCTTCATGCAGTGTTTAAAAATGATCTTACTAGCTCGTCGATTTATTCCCATTTCATAGAGTGTAGGACCCTAATCCTTTCGTATGGTTTTCATGTCTGTTTTGAAGTACGTGTAGGATCCATGTAATCATGTATTAGATAGGGGTAAGTACGTGTCAAATGATATTCCAATGTTCAACCCATAGCGGTTCAGAACGTGTCTCCTTTTTAGTGACCTTTTCTTTTGTTAATATTTTGATCCAGAATTCTTGGAATAACGCATTTACACAAGCAGAACGAGCATATCACAGAATTTGTTTTAATTCAGTACATTCATTGTGCTGTTCATGGATATATGAACGATATCATTGTACATGTACGTACATGTAACCATGACAGTCTCTAATTGGCAATGCGGTGCTATATTCATAATCACTTTTTGTTGTACAAATTGGCAACATTGGTTGATTTCACATGTATACAGCTATATACATTTTTATATTTTTGAATTACTTAGGAGTGGAAAATAAGAATTATTTGTGCCATTACAGTCTCGTATTGGCAATGCGGTGCTAAATTTTTAATAACTTTTTGTTGTACAAACTGGCAATTATTACCGTATGTTGAATTTAGTGATTATCATTCACATTGCTTCATTTCATATACATTTTTATATGTTTTAACTGGTACTTGGGAGTGAAAAATGAGAATTATTGGTGCCAATTTTCAAGGATAAAAAAGTGATTAATTTCAAAGACCATGCATGTACATGTAGAAATACTGTGAACTGTGAACTGCTATTGGAATAGTGTGGACACAAGCTGCAGTACGTCTCGTGTAATAATTTGGACATGGATTTTGGTCTTGAGCAAGTTCATTGTTCATAAATTTAATTTAATTTTATAAGTAATTAGATTCTAATCAAATCCGTTATTTACTTTTACTGTCATTTGTTTAAACACCGATTGCCCGGTAATTGAATCTTTTGCTCATATGCATCACAGTTGTCAGTTCTTTTTACATGATTCAATCGGCGTATCTACAGTTTGATTTTATGTGTAACATGGAAACAGTCTGTACTTCTAATAAAAGGCATTTCTTTTATGTGAATTAGATCAATCAAGATCTTAAAGGTAATACAAAGTTTTGGTATGGGGTCATGAATTTGGTTCAAATTAACATAATGGAAGCATATGTGATCCTACAATACTCAGTACTCGAGTCTAAAATGATGAAATTGTAAAGCTGTTCATGTTGTATAGCTCCCTCTCAAGGTCAAGATATCAATTTAGCTATAAAATAATGTTTCTTGACTAGAATCGACCGATTGGCTATTCCCGTTTGGAAATTATATATCACAACTGCATATTCTGAGATTTTCATGGTCGCAGCTACCATTGTTTGGCCGGAGGCGCTATTTGAAATTTATCAAAATTTACCGGGAGCACCGGTAAATTTTTTAATTCAAATTTTCTTTTAAGCAGAAGTGTTTTAGGGGCTAAATTTTCTGGTGCTTATAATACATCCACAGGGGCATCCAAATATATCAAAATTGTAAAGAATCACTATCCACCCATTTTTCAAATTTCCCAAAACTTTGTATTACCTTTAACATATAATAGACTATCACATTGGAAAAGGGCTACACGTACATGTACATGTAAAACATCACAATTCTGTCCGTGCATACATTCAGTAGGAAAGATTTTATTTAAAATATTCAAAAGTTGACAACTTGTCTAAACGCAATGAACATTTGGACTTTAAATTATTCCTGATGAGGATTGACAGAGAGAAAGAAGAAAAGAGAAGAAGAAAAAGAAAACTTAGATAAGCAAAATAAGTGGCAGGAGAAGAAGGAGAAAGTAGAGCAAGAATAAACAAGAGGAACAAGAAACAATAGGCGCGTCTTCATCATCTCGAGATAGCCAAATAGCCCGCTATTTCTGATTTGGGAAATAATCCTGAAGTTACAAATCGCGTCTTCATCAGCTCGAGATTCGACCTCGAAACTTGAAACTTGACCTTGAGAAATTAGCTCGAGATATTTTGCTCAGCGTTGGCACATAGTGTGAGTCTTTGGTCTGGTGAAGACGCACCGGACAAATAGCTGGATATTATGCCAAATAGTGGGATATTGGGATGACAATCCTGACCAAATATCTCGCTAATTGCTACATCGGTCTGATGAAGCGCAAATTAGCTGGATAGTTTGCGATCAGGATAGTTCAAATAGCTGGATATTTGGCAATCTCGAGATAGTGAGGACAGGCCTATTGGGGGAGGAGAGTGTGGAAAATAAACAAGGAGGATCAAATTTCAAAGAAAACAAGAATTGTGCTCTTAGCAGAGTACTTGAATTGGATAGCATATGAACTCTTTCTGTGGATTCCACTCTTGAGTATATATAAAAGGCTTGTTCAGATATGGCGTGGTAAAACTGCCGCAAAAAGCTGCTGCGTTTTTTAAAACGTGTAAGGGAATGAAACCACGCACAACAAAGGACTTGCAAGAATCAACTGAGCGCTATGTTTAAAGATAAAGACCAGTTATGGTCATGCGATTGCATTGTGAAAGGAACGTTGTGGAATCAATCAGAAAAGGTTGATCCTCTAGCATATAAGTATTGGTGTGTACTGCAAGGTTCTGGAATCATCAAAATGATAAAAAATGGCCCAGTCTTGGTAAAGGTACAAGCACTGTACACAGAAAGATGTATACAGGACTACGCAACACGTGCGTTATATCTATCAGGTCCAAATAGATATAATAATTTTCCAAATATATCAATTAGTAGGCAGTTTCTCGGCCAAATTTGTATCATCACATATTATTCAAAACATATTCTTTCACATGATTGGTATTAATAAGAGCTTCCATTTCATTTTTTGAGAGGGGGGGGGGATGTTTCCAAAACTGGTCTTTACCTTTAAGATACAGAAATGTGAAGCATTTCACATTTGACATTAAAAAAACCCCAATGGTTTTAACATGTCATGTGTGAACGGACCCTTAGCCTACAGATGTAGATCATGCCAATTTGGAGTTCTGTGAAAGCAAACATTTTCTTCCCTCCAGCCGTGAGTGTTCTCAAGAACTGGGACACATACTCCAAATCTGACTAACATTGGTGTGACATATTCAGGACATGTACTTTTTTTTGTGTGGCCTTTCTTTACTCGATAAGGTTTTGTTACTCTCTTTTGCCTTGTCGGCTTTATATGGCATGCATTATTCATGATGAAGTAGCAATTAGAAGTTACCTGGACAGTTCTTTTTTTTGTAAAGGGGGCACCTGGAGAATTACCTTGTACATATTGTACATGTACTGATGTACGCAATCTATGTCATGTGCTGGCTGTTGCTGAGAAGAAAGATTTAATTTTGTACATGTCTGTTGGAGCCAGAAGGATGTTAATCAAGTACTTTTACATAGAGCAAGTGCCCTTCTCACTCCAATCAGATGATGTCATCATATTATATTTGTACTGTTATGGGTAATTCATTCACTAGGATTCTGTGCGGTTAAATATGTACCTGCATTAATTTGATTGACAGCAGTTGGTTGATTTGTAAAATGCAATGGAGAATGAGGTTACAGTTATTTTTCTATTGAAGTCATCAAGTACTACAGACAGTAACATAAATGATGGCACTGGGTATGTATTGACTACGTCAGTTTACACATCAAGTAATTTCCTTGTACAGAATCAGAAGCAGTTGTGCTGGTCACACAGTTTTACAACCACATGAAATATATATTTAATGTAGAAAATGTCACATTTTATAAACTCATTAGGCCGGTACATTATATGATTCATGAAGTGATATTTACATTTATATTCAGATACAAACATTTGAGGATTTTTCTGACTTTGTCAAACCCAAACTTGTCAGTATTTGATGACAAAATGTCTATAATATTTTGCTTTTTATCCCATCTAATACAGATCTTGCAACAAGAGACCGCGTTCTGAAGTTCCTGGCACCACTGGACAAGTCTCCGAGTTCCCAGCACCGTGCATTCAAAACAACGTCAATCATCAGTCCAAAGCCAAAAATTGAAAAGCGGGACTTTACAAAAGTCAACAGTGACCGCGTGGTGTGCACATCTGGTGATTTGAATGGGTTGGAGGCAGGTGTAGGAGAGAGTGACTCTTCACCTGATTTAAGTGAGAGGTTACGTTGCGCAGGAGCATCGAACGGAGAGACAGAAGAACTCCGGGGTCTTCAGTCACCAGTCCTTCCTAACAGGACAGGCTTTGATAATGAGTTAAGGGAGAATGGTGTAGGAGAGATCAAAGACCATTTAGTGACTCCCAAGAGCAACGGCTTAGATGCCTCTCAACCTACAGATAGCTTGGTAAACTCACATTCCTGTAATTCAGATGCAGATGCAACTGAAGAGTTTGTTGGTCAGATACTCACAACGACCGCTCTGATACACCGTGAGGATTCACTCAAAGAGGGAGGTCTTTCACCAGCGAAACGTCTAGATACTGTAGAGGAAGGAAGGAAAGATGTTTTAGATGGCTGTGTACAGTCCAACACTGTCCTTGCCGACCCGGAAGTAGTCCGGGAGACTGACCTTACTGTGAGCAGTGCAGAAACTGATACCACGATGAACAATGGACATTCTACAGCTGAGCTGGTGCGGATCACCAGTCACCAGCTACCGACAACATTCAGCCACAGTCAAGATGTACGGACTCGAATAGAAAATGGGACCAATGTGTCCTACAACAACGACACCATGTCGTCCCCGGTTGACAGTGCCTTTGTAACGTCGTCTCCCATCGTGAAAGTGAAGACCACTGCAACGACCGTTAGTCTGGGTAGGAACACACCCTCGGAGGTACAAGTAAAGAGTGTCCAGCAACCAATGGAATCCTCAAGGCCGAAACTCTCCACAAATGCAATAGGAATTCAGACGAACCCTTCTGACTTAGAACCTAGGATAGAAAACGGAGGCTTGAAAGGGAAGTGTGAACTCTCAGCAGCGATGGCTGCACCTACAGCAGGTCAGACAATGCTTGGTAACGGTGGAAATATTGGGTCTGTGGATTTGCCGAGTTTAACACCAAGGGACAGGGAATCAACTTCAAGTTCAGGTAGTGATGATTACGAGTTCCCGGACATGAACACCTTGGAGAGTGCTCTCCATGAAAACCCCAAGAACTTGGATTTGCCATCAGCCAAAAGACTGGCAAAGAGACTCTATGAACTTGATGGTTTTAAGAGAGAAGATGTATCCATTCATTTAAGTAAGAGGTAAGTAAAGGCGAACATGGATTGTATGAATAATGTATTTTGTATTCGTGCAGTAGGACATTGGCCAGATATTAACCTGCACTTGCTACTCTCCACCCAGGTGTCAAATGGGTACCCGGTAGGATGCGGCCGTCATTGTTGGTCAAACAGCTTGTGAGCCTCAAGTAACGCCTGGCTGGAATGCTCCCCAGGGAGTGGAGATTGTGCACACAATGTGTGCGGGCAAGCACTGAATCCAATGACCGGGGTAATAGTATATTTGTAAAGCGCTTAGAGACATTTGCATTAAGCGCTATATAAAAATTAAATATTATTATTATCATTATTTCATGTTTGTTTGGAAAGATTGTCATTTAACAAACTTCTTGGCTGTTTTTAATATCTGAGGGCAGGTCCTAGTCTTTGAGCCTCATGTTTAGACTTTCCTCTACTCCATTTTTTCTAGGACGTTCTGTATGACCTTATGTATCATCACCTCTCAAAACAAGATCAAATACTGTAGTACCGTAATTAACCACACTTTTTTGCCGCCGAAAAATTCGAAGTCGGGGGTGCGTCTTATACACGGTACACACAAAAAAAACAAAAAAAATTGAAGTTTCAATTTATGCCCCTCCACCTGGCGCTATGCCTGCCAATGTCTCCCAGCTCAGTAATCAGTGTTTTGACTCACCACTCGTAAACTAGAACAACACTCAAATTTGTCTGTCATCTTGTTTTGAAAATAATCTTTCTGATAGATCTCAATATGTAGTTTATAATAATAATTACATTACATGGCGTACCACAAGGTTCTATCCTAGGTCCACTACTGTTTTTTAATTTCCATTAATGATCTTACACATTCAGCTGCACCTTGCAGTTAAATGAAAAGGCCTTCCCGCATGGGGTTTTTAACATGGACCTGGCTTGCTGCCGACAGAGTTTTTTTTTTTTTTTTTTTTTTCAGGGCAAAAAAGAGGGGTGCGGCTTATACACCGTTAATTACGGTACATGTACCTCTCTCCTATTCAGTTTTCTCACATAGGCCTACATTTTTCCTATATACAAATCGCTGCATTTTGAAGAGGAGCTATATTTGTAACTTCTGCAAAAATGCAACAGCTTTGGAAATAGCTTTAAGATGTATAAGGGTGCATTTATCATGTCTTGCCACTAGATACATGTATGTACATGTACATATCGAACCCCACTATACGAACGTGATTTGCGGGATGTCGCGTTTATCGTCTCTTTACGATTCAAAATAAAGGCCTTGTCTCTGCGCAGCTGCTTTGCGTCGTTTGACCCAGGAAGCAAACAGTTTCTTGAAGGTCAACTACACACACATGCTTGTACAACAACATGACACATCACATGGCGCGCGCTAGCCTCCGAACCGGATATTAACCTGGGAAGGTCCGATTTGTATGTTGGGTTCAAAACAGCTTTGCGTTTATCATATCTCAGAAACGTGATTCTGGCTGTATGTCACATTCAAAATGCACCTTTTTCATTACAATATGCCCATATCTAAAGATGTTTGAAAAAGGCTTTGCGTTTATCACCTTTAAAATTTGACTGAAAAACGTTTGAGAAACCTGATTCTAGGCAAGAAATTGGTCAATAAACGCACCCTAAGATGTATACAAGTTGTTGTTACACTTCATTCATTTCATAGATGAAATGCCGAGTGCTGATTTAGACATCCAATCCTTGAAAATCTATCCATTTTAGGAATGAATTCTGCAAACTCGTGGCAAGGGAGTACCTGAGCTACTTTGACTTCACGGGGGACAGGCTGGACGAGGCGCTGAGGGAGTTCCTGAGGTGCGTCACGGTCATCGGAGAATCGCAGGAGAGAGAGAGGGTGCTGGCGCATTTCTCTCATCGTTACTTTGACTGTAATCCAGGAGTTGTGGAGTCCTCTGATGCGGCTCATACCCTTATATGTGCCGTCATGCTGCTTAACACCGACCTACATGGGCAGGTAAGTCATCTTTAAAGGCATCGTTTAACAATGTTCAATCTGAGATGCACGGCCCTACGTGTTATCAGTGTCTGTGATGTGGTGTAATATTGAAGCCCTAAAAAAATTGCGCTTCAAAATGATCATGAAGCGCCTCAAAAAGGTAAAAATCTTTGAGTGACCGGTTTTACCATACTCATTTTCCCCAATAGACTGTAGTGTTATAAAAACTGTTGAAATTTTGATTTCCAATCATAAATATCTTGATAATCAGACAGGCGATCGGCTTGTATAAGTCATGGGGTTCCTGACTGACCTAAAGGTTCACAATTAATAATTTCAGCATGAGCTAAATCCAGGATTTTGTTTAGAATCTGAGACAAAGATACCCAATCCCTTTAGCCTTATCATCAGTTCTACACTAAGGGCTTGATCGGATATGAAGTGGTAAACCATGGCGTTAAAACAAAAAAAAATGTTACTCGTAGGCATCTGCCCAAATTTATTTTGCAACGTATCCATCTCAGGGGATGCTCAAGGCACCTCAAAAATTAGTATTATTACCTTGGCTTTAATAGCCCACTTGCAATAAGCTACTAAAAGCATTTGAAAAGAATAAATTCCTACCAGGTACCCATTTACTACACCTAGATGGAGAGTGGCAGTTGATAATTAATGCCTTGGTCTTGCCAATGGACTTTGGTACGCTCAAAAAATGAAGACAGGTCTAGGTTTCCGCTTGGTTGTATATGAACTCAACGATATGCCAGTTGAGCTATTTTATTCAACCTGAAAGTAGAATAAAAATAAGCATCCTCAGTATACATGTCTATATCACATAAAATGTACTGAACTAAATCAGTATGCATTTATCCGGTAATGTATAATCAAAAGCCTTAAATAGCATTCATTAAAAGTCTTGACTCTATATCCAAAAACTCTCTAAAAGGCCTAAACCCCCATTAATCTCTATGTCAAAATAACATATCTTGACAGAAATACTGCTTTCATTAAAACCCGAGTAACCAAGGTCCCCAGCCTAGATAAATTCCTAGTCAAGACTACCTTTAAATATATGCTTAATAAATAAATCCCATCTTACTCAAAGTATGTCAAACTTGTCTTTCTTATTTAGACTCATTGAACTTTCATAATAAATTCCCAAAAACCTGACTGTAATTCAGTCTTTTTCTTTCATAACTCTGATTTATCCGACACTTATTTCATATGTCAATACCAATATTTATAATTTGTCAACTAAAACAACCTTAAATCAACCTCTGACTAATGTCATTATAAGTCGGTGATTTAAAAAGCACAAAATCCCTCTTTATAAATGTGAATTAAACACTAACTAAATACCGCACATACTTTCAATGTAAACGTACACATTACGCTGCACACTTCTATACACATTAACATGCACATTACTAACACATCTTCGTACTCGAATGTGACACCAAATAATCATTAATTTCCACCAATTCATTATCATACACTTTATAATATCTTATCCAAGCTTTACTCACTTGTTTTGCGGAAATTGCTAGCGACTCTGAAATACCGTTGCCATTTTCCTAAACCTGGAATTCTGGCCTCTAAATAAGCATCTGAAATGATATGTCAGACCACATCCGTGGAAAAATGTGCTCTGCAACGTATACACTTACTTGACCCTAGAAGTAGGTCAGGGTCAATACGGTATCTTGCAAAAATCTTGGAAAAAACAAATAACTTTCATGTTTCGCTGAAACAGACTTGATAAAGAGCAGTGAAACAGAAAGTCATGATTTTTGTGAGAGGTTCAAGAGGCATCTATGAATCAACTTCAAAAACACTACGGAAGAGAAGTACTTGTCTCAAGGGCTCTTACTGTGTCAAGGATATAAAAAACATCTTTGAAACGAACTATTTTCATGGTTTCAACTATCTTTTCTCCTGGGCTGATATTCAATTTGATACTTATGTCAGAAATATGAGTATTTTACTCAGTTTTAGGCTAAGATGAAACACTTGAACTAAATCTGGTATTCAATTGAATTTTTTGTCCTATTTTACCCTAAGTTTGAAATAGCTCCTGACTAAAGGCTTAAACCAAAAGGCAAAATGAAAATGATTATGAAAATCATATTTTGTATTGTGACAGATGATAATAAGACCTCCCTTCAACAAAAATTCTTGTTTGCAATGGATGATTTGTAAATATACATTAAACCTTGCAAATGCTACTCCAGTCTCTTCTCGCATCCTTCCCATTAATGGCATTGTTTTAACAATTTGTTTCCAGTTTTACAAATCTGAGATGCCTGGCCCTACATGATATGGTGTAATATTGAAGCCCCAACAAATTGCACTTCAAAATGATCATGAAGTGCTTCAAAAAAGTAAAAATCTTTGAGTGACCGGTTTTACCATACTCGTTTTCCCCAAAAGACTGTAGTGTAATGAAAACCGTTTGGCAAACGGTTTTCAAAATTTGTAATTCCAATCATAAATATCTTGATAATATGACAGGCGATCGGCTTGTAAAAGTCATGGGGTTCCTGACTGACCTAAGGTTTATAATTGCAGCACAAGCTAAATCCAGGATTTTGTTTCAGAATCTGAGACAAAGTTACCGGATCCCTTTAACTGTGGCACCATCTTTGCCTTAGACGATAATATACCTGTAGTACTCCCTGAAAAATCATAACTATCACATAAATATAAACCCTAGTCCCTTGTACCCTTGTTTGTGTAGTGTCATCTTTGATGTCCAGATACCCTCAAGGTGTGAGTAGCATTTGTAGTGTGTCTCTTCTCGCATCCTCCCCATTAACTTGAAGTTCTCGAACCTTCAGTTAATGACTGACCACTGCAGGAGCGTGAAGATGAACACAAAAGCAAGGATTTTTCATGGAAAAATAGCTTGTTACTTCCTTTCTCCTGCTATTTTGTTGTTCATCCAAATATTAAAAGGCTCAGGTGTCGGCAATCTAAATCTCACCTTCATGTATTTTTCTTAAAAGAGGACATAATGTTTTGCCTAGTTTACTTTAAATTAAGGTATATGGTTAGGTTGTAAGAAAACTAGATCGTGAGAGTGGTGAAAAGTAGATTGCATTTAAATAGTCATTCTGGTTGGAATGGGTAGTGTATTTTACAAGAGCTTCGTTTCTTCTAAAATATTTATATTCCACATACTAAGAATCTTGCTCTACGATTGGTCAAAAGTAAATCACGTGATATAAGATAGTTCGCCCATCATTGATGGGAGAAGAAAAGTTCATTACACTGTGTAGATAGTACTACTATATACACAGTGCAACGCACTTTCACTGAAGATTATCCAAAAGCGCACTAAAACCGGCGTAAATAAACGTGCATTACCAATGAGCGCAATTAAAACAAACACATGCGCGCACCGTACACACAAGGGGTTGGGTTAAACTTAAACCTTTTTCGGGGGTGTGAATTTGGGCCTAGGTGTCTTTTATGTAGATACACACACGTCCTTTTCTTTCTGTAGTTAAATTGTTTCAGATGTGGAATATAAAGCAAATAATCACCTTTTGGTTTCAGGCGATGGCAAACTATCACTTCCTCGTCGATCAGAATGTATATCCAGATACCCTCGGAAGTGATAGTTTGTCCCATCACCTTCACCAACGGTAATTATTTGCTTACTAGCCATGGAAGAAAAGGGATTATTTTGTGGCAGAAAAGAATATTTAGAGCATGAGCATGATCGATGTATGAAGTTAGCTCACATCCAAAGGTTCTTCCGAAATTGAGTCAGTACACAGGGAACTTTACAGTGCTTTGTTTTGTGAGATTGTACTACAAAGTTGAATTTAAGCATAACAATACGTAATTCATGGACACAATTCAAAAAATCAATTATTGACAACAAATTGAATTCATATTCTTCCAATTTTTTTGAGTTTTATGGGACTTGACAAGGTTCACACATGCAGCATTTATGCAAAGTATAAGGTGACAAGCAGTGATGTGTACACAACTGCTACTCATTTTCCAAGAATAAGCCTGGCATCCAGGCAGTTTCAAGTTCTTCAGTTTGAAGGAAAACATTACGTGGAGGGTTCAGTGACACAAAGACGTACATGTAACTCCATATTTGGCCAAAATGAGTATTTGATATCAAAATGTTCAGAAAATGTGGGCTTTTCAGGAAACACAAAGACTTACCTCCACCCAACACCCCGTTGAAGTCAATGACTAGTGAAACATAGACTTAACTCCTTAAGGCACAAGTGCCCAAAATTGCCAAAATGGAGTTACGTCTTTGTGTTACTGACCCCTCAATATATATGTGTAAGTTGAGGAAAAGTCATTCGTGATCTGCTCTGGCTGGAGGTAGATTAGTCTGCAAGCACAGACCCTAATTTGACACTTTATCAAAAAATTGTTGTGTCTTGAGAGAAGCCTAGCCCAGCTACCTACTGGTGTCAGGAGCAGCTACAGTACATGGCCTATGGTAGTCTTATAGTGCAGACTCACTTTTACGACTGACCAGGGTTTGTGCTTGCAGACTAGAGGTAGATTACCCCTTTCAAGGAGAAGGAAGATAGTCTTCAATTTCCAGACTCTGTCAACATTCTCAGAAGCAGTCAAACTGCATGTAATAATAATGCACACACTTCATGAAAACGCATATTTAGTGCCTTGAGGCCAGGCTAAACCAGACAAAGCAAATCTGATTGTGTATAGTTGACTTGATAGAGGTACACAGGTGCATTGGCATTGCATTGGTGACAGCCAAACGTAGAACATTTAATTATCATTGGCCCAATTGCTTGATTGGTACATGTATATCTATTCCCTTCATTCTGTTATATCTTTTAGCTCTTCTCCTGCGTTTGATTTCAAATGATTTTTTTTATTTCTCATGCAAAACACTATACAATGAACAAGTTTATATCATAGGTCTATACACTGGACGATGCTATAATTGCTTTGATGTGCATTTTTGGAACATGGCTGTTTAATTACTTTTCTGGAGTAATGTCTAGTACGGTCAA